TGCTCCAATTCCCTGCTACTCTTTTGAATAAAACAACTCCAAAAGTTGTCTACTCTCCCAGTTGCCATTTTCTCTCTTCTCATGATCTCTCAAACCCATTCTAGTCCACTTTTATCCCTACTACTCCACTGAAATAGTTCTTGCCTTACTTGGCATTTGACTCAGTTCATCAATCTCTTCTCCTTGAAACACTGTCTTCCCCTACTTTAAGCATCCAACCTTACTGGTTCTCCTCCTAACTCAATGGCCTCTCCCTCTCAGTCTTGTCCGTTTCTCTTTGCCTCCCTGACATCAGGATGTTGGAGCATCCTAGGGTTAATTCCTCAGACCTCTTCTCTATCTACTCTTCCTCTTGACGGATCTTTTCCTGAACTTGTATCTGACTAGCTGACATCTCCATTGGATATTCCATAGGACGTCAAACTTAATGTGTCCTTTTAAGAACGAACTCCTAAAACAATACCTGGTATGTATTAGACACTCAATAAATGTTGATTCAATCAATGAGTAAATGCTGCTTTTATCTGTTTTCCTTTAAATTGAAAAACTTAATTTTTCTTTTAATTAGTCCTTCAGGTTTGGACCATGGAAGCTGACATTGTCCAGTTTGTTCCTTGAAAAAACCTTTCCATGGAAGCTTCCTCTTCATGGAATTTGTACTGAGGAACAGATTCCCCACTAGGGGGTGTGCATGTACCACTTACATTTCAAAATGGTCCTGGTATGAAAAATTGACTACTTAAAAAAATACACAAGTGTTCGTGGATCTGTTTTCTGATGTTCTATTCATCTTTTTTTGATGAAAGTTTTTAAAGGTTGTCATTTTCTCTCTTCTCATGATCTCTTGAACCCATTCTAGTCCACTTTTATCCCTACCACTCCACTGAAATAGTTCTTGCCTTACTTGGCATTTGGAGGAGAATGAAAATTTTCTAAATGGAAGGAACCAAAGAAAAAAAAAGTGCATTTTGTAGTCAGCATTAAGGGATAATGCAAATGAAATAAAGTAATTAAAGGAGGTATATATCTAAGTTAAAACTCATGATTCACTTTTAAACTGAGGAATTATTTTAAATCATGAATGACTCTTGGTTATAGGCATTATTCTATATCCTATTCATTCGACAAATGTTTATTGAACACCTAGTAGGTGGCAGGAATAAGAAAATATCCATGCCTTTGGGGAGTCCACAGTCTAATGGGGAAGATAGTCATATATATGTAAAGCATAAGGCAACAGTGAGTGCTATAATAAAGGTGAGAAAAAAGTACTTTAAGAGCCTAGAAAGGATAAGACGAGCTATGGTGAGGGGACTGTCACAGAGAAGGGGATATTCCTGTGGCCCAGACTAAATGCTTTTCCGCAACTGGGCCTCCCCAGTGTCCATGTTGCCAGATTGCGGTCCTCATCAGTAGGAGGTCTGTTCTGTCTCTTTGCTACTGCTCTACGGCCTGACTGGCAGCCACAGGGTAGCATTTGGGTATTTATAGACAATAATCTCAGCATTACACCTATCTGAGCAGTCTGGCTTTCCTAGTCTTTTCTCATCCAATTCTGGGGTCAAGGGACACCCAGACAATTAGCTCAGTTGAGTGAGGCAACGGGCTGTCAAAGTGAGCAGCTGAAAAACTCGGGAGAAGTGAAAGAGTAGACCTGTGGGAAGTCAGCTGCTTTGGGCATCAGAAACTACTGGAACCCCAGTCAGCATCACATTAGCATGCTTAACTGAGTAGTCAGTTGCCAATGAATCCTATGGCATAGAAAGCTTTATTTTACTTGTGTTTCTTAAAGTAAATCTAGATTGTCAGAGTATACTTGTTTAGGGGAAAATACACTCTCCTAAGCTGATGTCCTGTGGACGGGCATGTGTGGGTCTGCATAGATATGATTAAGGACATGCATTTAGATGAGCCAGATGAATACCTAGAGGGAAGAAGAGCTTATTAAAAGACGATAATTCCTGTTGTAGGACTCGGCTGCTCTTCTGTACTCCCCTAGAGCAGTTCTGAGAGTGGGAGATTGCCATTTGGAAACATCAGAAAGCTCTAGTCTCCAGTGCCCTCGTTGCCCATCTTACGAGAATACTGTTATAGGCAATGAGAGTCTAGACAAGGTTCGGTACTTTTTAAAGCAATAGAGGTATTTTTTAAATGAAAGAAAGAAAAGTGATGAAAACTAAAGACATATTTTGATTCAGATGCCAACACTTCCCTTATTATCTGCAGTATAACTGCCAAAGAGTGGGCAGGCCGGGGGACGAGGAAGGAAGCAACACCTTGACATGGATTTTAAAACACCAGGACACCAAGGGCGAAACAAATAACAAATTGAGGTGAATGTTTGGGTAATTTATGAATATTTTTTTGTGAAGCTGTATCTTCAGCTTTTCTTTGTGAGAAAATTATGGAAAAGTATACATGAGATTTCAGCATTTTTATGAAGATAGGATTATTTGTTAGTCAAGGTTAGAGGAAAACTGATAGAATTCCAGATTGTTCTGTCAGGATTTTGGAATAATACAATGATAGATGATATTTAAATTCAACATAAGCAAGGTAATGCTGCAGAAGCCGAGATTTTCAATAACTATGTTTATGCATTGTGACAGCTTATAAATTAAAAACCTAGCAACTCTTAGGAAATACATTCAGCTATCACCAGGTTTAATGTAATAGGGGTGACTGCTCGATCAAAAGGGGAATTTTGACCTGATGCTCTACTGAAAATGGAAGAGGAAGTAAATTAGAAAGTAGTATTTTACTGATTATTTGGTGGGTTTATACGTCCTACAATTAAAAAACAAAAGCAAAAAACATCAGAAGGTGCTAGGAAATATAAGTGGGCTGGGTAAGGGCTGGTAAAAGTGTAGGTGGCAAATTATATTGACTGTAGATTCAAACAAAAATAAAACAACTGCTTTTAAAATTCTTGGTGTACTTATTTAATGTGGAATATTATTTAAAAGAGCCAAGACAGAATGTAAGCTGACCTGATTACTCAAGGAAAAAAAAATGAGAGAAGCCAAATAAGTTAAAATAAGTTAAAAAGTTAAAATGAGAAAAGTCAAAAGTATCTTGTGAAATTTACTTCCTTATGGAATTTTTAAGAGGCCTTGAGACAATTCTAAACCTCAAAACCAAAAATGGAGACATTTCAAAATAGTCAAAGATGATCTTGAAAAAATCATTTAACTTTCCCAGCCTCTATTTCCCTCTCTGTATTGAAGAGGGAACAAACGGTTTCTTAGATGACTTCCAGCTACAAACTAGTTTTCTTTTGTCTGAAATTATGTTTAATACTAACATAAATAAGGTTGAAGAAATTTCCTCATCCATCCTCTTGACTATTAAATAGTATTGCTTTGTGGCCTGCATGTTATCCTCTACTCTTACTCTGACTCAATCTATCCATCTGCTTATCCCAGGCAGAGGAGAGCCTCTGACATCTTCCTAAACAGTGAAAGAGCAGTGAACATTGGCCCACCATTCAGGGATTTTTTTCTCTACTTAATTTTTTTTTTCTTGGGGAAGATTGGCCCTGAGCTAACTCTGTGCCAGTCTTCCTCTACTTTGTATGTGGGTCTCTGCCACAGCATGGTTGCCAACCACTGGTGCAGGTCTCTGCAGGGAACCGAAACAGCAGCCCAAGCTGAGCATATGGAACTTAACCACTAGGCCCTGGGGCACCACCCCTCCATTTTTTTTTTTTTTTTTTTTTAACGTGTAGAGGGAAGACTACCGACATAGTAATCAGATAAACTTGGGTTTGAAACCTAACTATTACTTACCAGCTAACTGCAATAGCAGCTGTGTTTCCTTATCTGGAAATATAGAGCTAATACCCACCTTGAAGAATGAGAGTATTATTCAGCCCCCAGATCAATACATTTAGAGGTTTCTGTTTCTTTTCTTCTTATTTATAATCCGCTAGGGCCTAACTAGAAAAGGAAACAGATTTGATTATTTTTAGAGTCTTAAACTAAACAAATCACTGCTGGCTCCCAAGAAAACCCTGAAACAAAACGGAGTGAACTAAGTCTCACAAACGATAAGAATCAGCCACTCTGACAGGGTTTGAACACCAAGGGCATTTGAGGCAATAGGCATTAAGTCAACGTACACCTCCAGCATTCTTCTGCAGAACATTATAACCGGTCATTTCTTCGCTTATGTGCAAGCTTTCCCGAATGCCATGGGAAAATTAACCCTCCTTTCAGGGTATTAGGCTTTGTAGTCTGAATATAAAAGCAGCCAGGGTCTATTTTCAGGCCTGTTTCTAGACGCCTGGAGGGTGAGCCAGAGTGGGTTTAAGCCCCCTGGAGGGTCCAAAGCTTTCCCAGGGCCCCCAGCTCCTTCTCGGTACCAGGACCTGAAGGCACCATTCCCTTTTTCCTTTCTTCTTCTTCTTCTGAGCTCCCACCCCCACCCAGTTCGGCGGTTTCTCCTTTTCCCATAAGTGGTCAACATAGGAAACGGAAGTATCTATTTATTGTTTGGTGTAGTAGTGCTCGAAAACGTTTTTTAATTAAGAAGAAGAAAAATTCCTCTCCAGGTTCTCCCTTTGGCCCTGAGTGCGAAGGGCCGCTGGCTCGCGATCCTCCCCCCGCGCATCTCCGGTGACCGCCCGGAGGAGGTCGGGCTGTCGGAGGGGTCGGCGCCCGCGGCCGCACACAGGTCCCCGTGCGGGCCGCCTCGGGAGCCCGGGAGGTGCGTGGAGCGCCGGCCCCCGCCCAGGGGGAGGCGCGGGAGAGGCGGCGGCCCCTGTCCCGCCTGGGAGGCCCGGCCAGGAGCCGAGGAGCTCAGCGGCGGCGGGGACGCGGCGCGGCTGCCGCAGGGGAGCGGCGGCGGCGGCGGCGGCGGCGGGCGCGAGGGGCGGGGCGCACTCCGCAACTTCTGCCGCTGCTCCCGGGCGCTCTCGGCCGAGCCGCGCGGCGGCGGGCGGCGGGCGGCGGGGCGGCCCGGCGAGCCGGCGCGTCCCGAGCGTCCGTCGGTGCCTGTGGCATCTCCGGCAGGGAGTCCCTGTGCGGCCGCGCTCCCGCGGTGTCCGCAGCGGCCCGGGGGCCCGGGACGTGCGGGGCCGCGAGGCCAAGCCGGGGCGCCCCCCAGCGGCCGGCGCGGGCCCCATGGCTGGGCGGCGCGGAGCGGAGCAGGCGAGGTGAAGCCCCAGGGCCGGCAGCCGGAGCTCGTGGCGGGGGCGCCGGCTCCATGGGCAGCAGCGCACGGCGGCGCGATGATGGACGTTAACAGCAGCGGCCGGCCGGACCTCTACGGGCACCTCCGCTCTTTCCTCCTGCCCGAGGTGGGGCGCGAGCTGCCGGACCTGAGCCCCGACGGCGCCAGTCCGGTCGCGGGCTCCTGGGCGCCGCACCTGCTGCGCGGGGTCCCCGAGGTGACGGCCAGCCCCGTGCCCACTTGGGACGCGCCCCCGGACAATGCCTCCGGCTGCTGGGAGCAGATCAACTACGGCAGAGCCGAGAAAGTTGTGATCGGCTCCATCCTGACGCTCATCACGCTGCTGACGATCGCCGGCAACTGCCTGGTGGTGATCTCGGTGTGCTTCGTCAAGAAGCTCCGCCAGCCCTCCAACTACCTGATCGTGTCCCTGGCACTGGCCGACCTCTCGGTGGCTGTGGCGGTCATGCCCTTCGTCAGCGTCACCGACCTCATCGGAGGCAAGTGGATCTTTGGCCACTTCTTCTGCAACGTCTTCATCGCCATGGACGTCATGTGCTGCACAGCTTCGATCATGACCCTGTGCGTGATCAGCATCGACAGGTAAGGGCCGGGGCGCTCCGTCCCGGGGTCCGGATGGGCATGTGCTGGCAGCTCAGCCCCGCGCGCTCGCTTTTCCTGAGAGGATAAGCCAGACTTCACGGCGGGTTGAAGGGCTGCGCTTTAAACATCAACCCCCACACATCCACCCTACACCAACGAAACAACTTCAGGCACGGCAAAGCCTGTATGCACCGTTAAAAGAAGAGCCCGAAATGTTCTGGTTTACTGTAGTGAAGATTTTAAGACCAAAGTTAAGAGTGTTTTAAGCATTAGCAGTTCCACCAGGGGGTCCCTTGGCTTGGTTTTCAGAAAGGAAGGGATTTGATCCTCTCTGAGTTTGACAGACGTTTTCTGTGAGCCTTCAAGAGTCAATTCTTACTTTAAGAAATCAGTGGGAGAAAAGCCACCCTGCTTCCCTGATTGTAGGAGCTACTCCCCAGGCCAATGGAAAGACCTAGGATGGTCCCAGAATTGGGGGTCTGCGTATACCCGTATGATTGCTGATTCTGAATCTTATTCTTTTCGAAGTCTGTTTTTCGTTTTTGGCAACGGTGTCTGTAACCTGCAGGCTTACTGACTGGAGCCTTACTCCCTGTCTGAATGGTTAGTTCTAGCCTGTCATCATATCCCTTGGGAATCTTCTCTTGAAAACTCCCCCACTGGCGTAATTGAAACAGAGGCTGACCATCTGTCAGGGATGCTGGGGAAAAAATTCCTGCCTTGGGTGTCAGATGGGACTAGGAGACCCAGGGTTTCTTTAGACTCTGGGATTACAGGATCCTGCAATGGACCTAGTCTTTGGCTCTCGAAATATTGTGCAGTTGACAACTTGAAGTATAGTCCCAGTGCTCTGTGGCCACAGAACAGCTCTGCTTCTCTTGAAACCGAAATATTAAGCCTTAATATTCACATGCAGAATTCTACTGGTGGTTTAAAAGCAGCACGGGACTGGTATCCTGTTGCGTTTAATGATACAGAGAAACGGTTGCTTATTTTCTTAGTGGACCTATAGAACCTTTACTGTGTAGACTTTTCAGCATAGGAGAAGTAATTGATGCCTCCACACTTAAAATGACAGTGTCTCAAAGGATGGTCTAGCACGAAATGGAGATTTTCCTCCCTGTAAATGCTTCTCATAATGGTTTGTTGATATTTAACATGTTCTGCAGTTTTACTCCTTGACCAGGGTTTATAATTACTGAATAAAGGGAATGATAGGAAAGGGGATATTTTCAAGGAAAAATACACTGTAGCTGCATTTACAGATCTAGATTGTTTTTTAAAAATTGATCCTGCCATTTTATATATTGTGTTAGGATCTTCTGACAGCAAACAAGGAATTATTTTTAAGAGTAGAGCATGAACTGCATGTATGAGAATATTAGCTCCACACCTGACAGCTGAAGTTCAGGATTACTGTAGTTAAAAATGACAAAAACATTTGCATTTACAGCCTGGCTGTGGCAACAGGAACTAGGAGAGCACACTCCATGTGCATAGTAAGTATATGTATGAATTATAAGCACAGGAACTCAACTGCTCAGCCAACCAAAACAGTGCTTCTTGTATGAATGGAGGCCTTTAAATGGAACTTAGTGTAATAAAGCAAATGGCAATTTATGCTGCAAGTAATACATTTATAATTTTTTTTTCATTTCCTAATTGGTAAATGATAAATAAACAGCACAGTGTGCTAACTTGTCTCCAAAGACAGCCAGTGCTTCTGTTCTTCTGGGCACATTCAGGTCTGGCTGGGACATCCTGTGATTCCCGTACGTGATCGAAAGGCTTTCTTCCCTCGCTGTGCATGTGTGACTTACCAGCAGCAGGAAGGTTCGAATACAGAGAAGAGCTTAATCTTTCTTGGCAAGAGCTTCTAATTTCTTTGTCAACTATATCCTTATGATTGTCACAAATTGTGGGAATACAGGGATATAGGTTCTATGTCTTCATTTCCTGTGAGAATTACCCCATTGTTGAATTCTGCTTAAAAATTAGTTTAGAAGATGAACATATTTCTTTACCTAAATGAAGAATTGATAACATTGGAAGACACAGATTGCTTTTCTTCCAACAACACTCAGAACTAAAAATGAGAAAAAGGAAAATGCACTTGCTATCTAAGGTGAATTATTTCTGAAAAGAATGTTTTCTGCAGTTCCATGGTAGACGATGACCAGTGATATAAAAATGTGCTAAGAAAATGGGAAAAAAATGTACTCTTCATTCATTCATTTCTTCATTCCCTCTTGAGTACCTAATGTAGTTATGCTGTGCTTTGTGCAGCATAATGAAAGGTGAATGACAGTATTCCTGCTTTTGAGCTCAGCCTGTATTGTGAGAATTCAGATATCTGCTGGGCATTTGACCTATCCAAAAGGGAACCTTTGACTTGTCTTAACCAATCCCCACCATACCAGGATGCTTTTCCAATGCAGTGTCATGCCATTCTTCTTCATGGGCTTCAATACTCCCATGCCTACCCTTTCTAGATAATGACTCATGTTCACTGAAAATGTAGCAGCCATTGCATGGGAACTCCCTTACCTTACTTTCCACCGCCAAACAAGCAATCTTTCCTCCATCTGTACTCTTCTTTTTATTTCCCTCCAGTTAAAAAGCAAGAAGACATGGTGTCCCAGCAAAGACCAAACCACCTGTACTTCATATCCCTTCCCTCTCACCTTCCTGAGGACTTTGTTCCTTCCTTGATCCCTCATCTTTTCTTTGTCTTCAGCTTTGCTTCTCTACCAGGTTAAGCTTGATCTTCCGTCTTTAAGAATTCCTTCTTTGGCCTCACTTCTCCCTCCAGTTGCTGCTCCGCTTCACAGTTAAGTTGCACAACGAACTGTGCCCACAACCTGTGTTTATTTCCTTACCACCCCTCAGGTATATGAGTTTGACACTCACCAGGTCTACTGCAATGTCTAACTGGCCTTCCTGGTTCCACTTCTGTCCACCTTCATCCATTGCCTGTGAAGAAGCAAGAATAATCTTTGTAAAAAAATCTTTAAGTGAGATAAAATTTTCCTATAGTGAAATGAGCAGATATTAAATGTACAATTTGATGAGTTTTGACAAATGTGTATACCCATGTAACCAACATTCCAATCAAGATATAGACTATATTTGTCATCCCGGAAAGTTCCCTATGCTCCTCTTAGAATGATCTTTTAAAAATAGAAATAATTACCTTTTATATACTGTTTAAAAACCATGCAAAACAGTTGTATGTATTGATTAGGGAAGCTTCTATAAAGAGTGAAAGGATAAAATAGGGCAGAGGAATGGTGACCACCAAATTCCCGAGAGTGCTTTTTTTCGCTGGGGTTGGTGGAGGTGTCCTCAGGGGTGGTGCACAGATCAGCTGTATTGGTAATGTTTTGTTTCTTAAACTTGGTGGTGGATACAGTCTTGTTATTCTTACTCTTTTTTTTTTTTTTTTTGAGGAAGATTAGCCCTGAGTTAACTGCTGCCAATCCTCCTCTTTTTGCTGAGGAAGACTGGCCTTGAGCTAACATCGGTGCCCATCTTCCTCTACTTTATACGTGGGACGCCTACCACAGCACGGCGTGCCAAGCGGTGCCATGTCCGCACCCGGGATCCGAACCGGCGAACCCAGGGCCGCTGAGAAGCCGAACGTGCGCACTTAACCACTGCACCACCGGGCCGGCCCTCCAGTCTTGTTATTCTTTGTGTAATTTTCTGTATGTCTCAAATATGCTTTTTACCTTTTTTGGGAAATACCTGCTATAGAAAAGTGAACAATCCCAAGTGTAGAGCTTGATGAATGTAGAGCTTGTAGATGTTGTTGCTAATGTTATTTTACTCCAGAGAAGATAGCCGCTAGGCAGGTGAATTGGGGAACTGATTATTGTAATCAAGTTAGAGACTGTAGAAACAAAGTGAATAGGTAGATGTGATCTGCAAGTAGATCAAGAAATTGAAAATTACTAACCTTCCAGAGGTCCCCTCCTGCCCCTTCCCACTTCCTTATACTCCTAAAGATAACCATTGTCCTGCCTTTTAGCATCATAAATTAGTTTTGCTTGGTCAAAACTTCATATAAATGGAATAGTATAGTATGTACTGTATTAAATCTGGCTTCTTTTGCTCAGTAGAATGTCTGTGTTATTCATTCATAGTTTTTAGCCTATCAGTACTATTCATTCATTTTTATCACTGAATAGTAATCCATTGTATAAATATACCATAATTTGTTTACCATTTCACCTGTGGGTAACATTTGAATTGTTTCCAGTTTCTGGCTGTTACTGCTTCTATAAACATTTATTTATGTAGAAGTCATTTTGTGGACAGGTTTTTGTTTCTTTTGGGTAAATATGATACTGGGTAATAAAGTACCTTATTGCATGTTAATTCTATTTATCCCCTCACACCTTTTGTGTTATTGTTGTCATACATCTTATTTTTTATTTCCTTTTTTTTTTTTGAGGAAGATTAGCCCTGAGCTAACTGCTGCCAATCCTCCTCTTTTTGCTGAGGAAGACTGGCCCTGAGCTAACATTGTGCCCATCTTCCTCTACTTTATATATGGGATGCCTACAACAGCATGCCGGCGTGCCAAGTGGTGCCATGTCTGCACCCGGGATCGGAATTGGCGAACCCCAGGCTGCCCAAGCAGAACGTGCACACTTAACCACTGTGCCACCCGGCTGGCCTCATTGTCATGCATTTTAATCTACATATTTTTAAAACCCGTTAGATAGTACTTTTATTGTTCTTTTAAACAATCAGTATTCACAGATATGAAATGTACAGTTTGATGAGTTGTATTTACCCACATGTTTACCTTTTCCATTGCTCTATTTTTTCCTGCATTCTTATGCTTTCATCTGGGATCATTTTATTTTGCCCAATTAGAATTTGTTGACTTTTTTTTTTAAGTGAAGGTTTGCTGGTGACAAATCCTCTCAGTTTTCACTTGTGTGAAAATGTCTTAATTTTCCATCATTTTTGAGTGATATTTTCTCTCAGTA